TCCAATCTTGTCAAATGCTTCAACCTTTCTTTCTCTTGGATCCCACCTGTGCCTGTTCTGTTTAACACTTCCCTCCCAGGACACCCCATGTTCAAATAGCTGAGGGAACAATGTTCATGAAAGGTGGACCCCATTTCTACCACTTAGTAGCTGTGTGACCTCTGCAAGTGACTTAGCATTTCTAGACCACAACTTTCCTCATCTGTAATACGAAGGGGGTAGTACTAGTTGATCCTTCCGTTTCTAGCATTCTACAAGTCTATGAAGTGTCCTAACCACCTTCTTACCTCACCTACTCAAGATTGTGAACTAGTGCAATGTCCCTTTGATTACAAACATTTGTCACTAGATGGAACCTCTAAGTAGATAAGGTGAAATGGGATTATTGCCTTTGTAGATACGGGTTTAATTGGGGGGGGGTGTGATGATGAGGAGGTCTAGGTGACTCAGTGGATAGAGCACTCGGCTTGGAATCAGCAAGACTCATCTTACTGAGTTCAAATCTGTCCTCAGACATTTACTAGCTGTGTGATCCTGGGCAAGTCATTTAGCCCTGTTTGCCTCAGTTTCCTTATCTGTAAAATGAGCTGGAGAAAGAAATGACAAATCACTCTAGTATCTTTGCCAAGAAAACCCCAAATGAAGTCATGAAAAATCAGACAGGACTGAATAACAACAAGGAGGAGGTCTGAATGAGCAGATAAAGGTAGGGCTGAGTGGAAGAATGGGTGTGGCACCTGCTGGACTGGAGTGAAGGTGAAGCATGAGATAATGTGGAGATGGTGGCTTGCTGAAATTTGAAGCAGCGAAGAGCAGGATGGCCTTTATGGGCTTTGGCATTTAAGGGTAATTGGGATGTAACAACAACACTAACACCTAATATTTATATAATGCTTTAAGGTTTAAAAGTGTTTTTCATACATTTTCTCACTGTGGAACTTTCTGAATGTCAGTGGAGCCAAAGGTAATAAATCTCTTCTATTCTTGGAGTGCCCATTTAAGAAATACATCATTTGGTGAGAGATGTTAATGAATATAGTACTTCATGACCCATTATGGAGAGAGGCAATATGGTACAGTGGAAAGAGCAATGACTCTGGAATCAGAGCACCCAGGTTCAAATCCTATCTCTGGCACTTGCTACTTGTGTGACCATGGGTAACTCACTTCAACTCCGCCCACCTCAGTTTTCCCCTCTGTAAAATGAGGGAGATGGGCTAGATCATAAATGTAGAGCAGGAAGGGACCTTAGAGGTTATCTAGTCCAACCCCTTCATTTTAGAGATGAGAAAACTGAGAACCAGAAAGGCTAAGTGCCCACGGTCACACTGGGGGTGGCAGAGGTGGGATTTAAAAATAGGTTCTCTGCTCTCAAACCCTTACCCTTTCTATTGTACCATGTGACTATATGTTGCTATGTGCTGTAGATCATGCCTCATTCTTATGAATGGGAAAACAGAAAAGAAAAGACCATAGTCAGTAAACAGATGCTTCAGCATAGAAATGACAGCTAGAAGGGACCTTACAGATCCAACCCTTTCATTTTATAGATGATGAAAATGAGGATTAGTGTTCAAGTGACTTACCCAAGGTCTTATAGGTGGTGCATCCTCACACTTCAAGTGCTCTTTCCAGGACAACACATTGCCTCTAAACAAGAAGGTCTTGGAATTGTGGGTCAGGAGTAGCCAGAATTTTTTTTAAATCTGATACACACAGTGAGACCCTTTTTAAAAACAAAACATTTCAATAGTTGAGCTTTGCCTTCTTTTTCCACATTAAGGAAAAAGACTGTGCAAGATGTGAGTGCAGTGGGGGCATCCTTAGTATATGTATAACCACACACATTTGTGATATGCATTCTTTAGGGCTAGTTCCTACATTAGAATTATTCCTTTGTAAAGGTGCCAATTATAGGGGCTGAGAGAAGGCAATATACTTCTTTATAGCTGTCTCAGGAAAAGGGAGTTGTTCACTGACAATAATGATACAAATACTCGTCTCCATAGCAGACAGAGGGCTGGACTCTGGTGACCTCAGCATATCCAGGTGCCAATTAATTTGTCTGGAAGCATCTTGGTCATTACTTTTAAAACCACTGTGGGAAAGGAAAAGGCCAGTGTTGGCCCTGCATCTATCATGGTTTCTTGTAAGGAGAATCTTTGTTATTTATAGCTTAATGGTGACTTAGTTTCTGTGAAACAACCCTGGTCTGTTTCCTCTCTTGGAAAAAAAATAACAAAAAACCCTTAGAACTTCAATTTTGTCATTGTGGAATTTTGGAACAGCCTCTAGTTTTGACCCCTCAAAGATTGTGATGGGGTTTAAGGAAGGAAAATATTTTTGAGGTAATCTTAGTCATTTAAAATTGGTTTGTAAGGATTTTGTCCAAAGCTGGGTTCAAGTCTACCCTCTGAAACGTCTTTCATAGTTTGGAAATGCCCTTGTTCAAGACCTTTGCCAAATTTTTTTTTCATAAGTATCTATTATAAGTGATTAATCAAGCCATCAACCAACAAACATTTTTGAAATACCTTCTCTGTGCTGGGGCCTGTGCTTAGTGTTGGAATGAAGTCACAGAATGAAATAATCTTTATTTTGAAGGAGTTCATACTCTAGTGGGAGAACACAATTCTCCCTCTGTCATACATACACAAAATAGATACAAATAGAATAAATAAAAGTAGAATAAAATGCAAAGTAGTAAAAATACAACCTAATTAAGGAGGGAGGGCATTAGCAGTTGAACATTCATGTAGAAGGTTGAGCTTGGGTGGCATCTCGAAGGAAGAGGATTCCATGAGGTGAGGAGGGAGAGCCTTACAGGAGGAGGGAGAACTTTCTAGACATGGGGGATGGCCAGTACAAAGATGGGAGATGGAGTGACATGTGTGAGGAACACAGAGAAGGCGAGTTTGGCTGGATCGAAGAGTGTGTCTGTTTGGGGTGCAATGAATTCTTCAGAGAATTAGAATTTTAGGTCTAAAAGGAACTTTAGAAATAATCTAATAATAATGCGATTATTGTGTTGCACTTCAGACACATTATGTCTTTTGAGCCTTACAGCAATCCTCTGAGAAAGGTACTAACTTCTGGATTTCATAGCTTTTCTTCAATGAGAGACTGGAGTCCAATTCTGAGAGGTAATGGACCTGCCCGGGGTTACGCAGATTTTAAATATTAGCTGCAGGGTTCAAACCTAGGTCTTGATGACTCTAAGTCCAGTGCTTTATGCTCTGTGCCACACTGTCTTTCTAATTTAGACCTTTCGTTTATTATTAGACAGCTAAGTGGTGTAGTGGATAGGGCAGTGAACCTAGAGTCAGGAAAATCCGAGTTCAAATCCTTCCTTATAAATACAGCCTCACACACTTACTTAACTGAGTGACCAGGAGAGCCATTTAACCTTTGTCTGCCTCAATTTCCTTATCTGTAAAAAGGGGATAATAATAGTGTTTACCTCCCAGGGTTTGTGAGGATAAAATGAGATATTTATAAAATACTTTTAAAACTTTTAAGAGTGATACAAATGCTTATTATTGATAGTATTCCTCAGACCTTACTAGTTATGTGACCCTGGGCAATTCATTTAACCTCTCAGCTTCAGTTTCCTCATCTGCAAAACGGGCATAATAATAGCGCCTACTTAATAGGATTTAAGGTGTTATGTAAATGTTAGCTATTATTTTTATAGATCATGAGAATCATTGATATGTGCCAAAATACAAAACTCCAAAAAAGAATCCTTGCCTTTAAATTGTCTTTTCTAGGAAAAATAGAAAAATGTACACTATGGTTTTCACTGTATTAATTAACTGACTAGCAAATGACCTCTTCTCCAACCAACTCAAGGGCAAGTTGGGAGGGAAGACAGGGAACAGGCATTTATTAAGCACCGAGTACATGCCAGGCACTCTGCAAAGTGCTTTACAAATATTACCTCATGGTTGGAACAACAGAAAAATACCCATATTAGTGGGTGAGCTCAGCTTTCGTAACAATTGAGTTCAACTTAGCCACCATTTATCAAGCATCTTCTTTGTGCGGATACCCCCTCTTCCTTTTTTCTGTCTTCTAATGATGACCCAGAAGATGATGCCTGTGAACCTTACAGTAGGTGTGTTGGTGAAAAACCATGATATCTGTAAATTAAATTATGCTTTAGATGCATTATAGGAATTCATTTACAAGGAATCCAGTGATAGGTCTTATTTAAACTGAAGAATCCTTTTGTATAAATTATCACCTTCCACTTTTTTTTCTGTTTTGCAAGTTTGGATTTTCATATGTTGAACTTATACCTATACCCCAATGTAGGAGAGCCTGGTAGTATAATGACTGGGAAAAAAGTGAGAGGGAAAGGCATTGTTTTGAGAGCAAGGGTGGCATAGTGGGTAGAACATTGGACTTGGTTTCAGAATACCTGGGTTTGACTCCTGCTTCCTCTATGTGATCATGGGCAAGTCATTATCAGAGCCTCAGTTTTCTGATCTGTAAAAAGGGGATGACAATAATGTTTTCAATTTCGGCATCATTATGAGGAAAGTGCTTAATGTGTCACAGAAATGTGACTTGTTTTTATTTGGAGACAGACTGCTACATTGTAGGCCATGGAGAAAGAAGAACACAGGTAGCAAGCCTGAAGATGGGTAATTGAGAAGGTGTTAAGGAGAAAGAATGCATAAAATGCTATAGTCATAATAAAAAAATGCTATTTTAATGGTATGCCAATCACCTGATAATTTTTTTTTACCCAATGGATGGTGAAAGTGAGATCATGAGCTCTGAGGCCAATGAATACTCACTTTTTTGTAAGAATATAGCCCTTGTGGTTTGGGTAAATATACTTAGGCTTACCTACCATACACAGGCATTTTCCTTTCTTGTTCAATAAACAATGACTAATGACATTATCTCATGTGTGCAGTATTTATCTCGGAAAAGCTCAAAGCCCATTATGGACTTGCTGTCTGAGTCTCTTCTCTTCTCTTCTCCCCTAGATCTGCCCAGCACCTGTGATGGAGCTCAGAACACAATGGCAGCCCAACAGATATTGTTGACTCACTGAATGTGGGAAATTTTGTATTATGTTAGGGTAACAGCCAACCATGGACACCTTTAGGTGTTTTGTCAAGGTCTTAGTAATTGCCACAATGGAAAGAACACTGTGTCTGGAGGCAAGGACCTGGGTCCAAATGCAACCTTTGAAATTTATTACCTGTGTGAATCTCCTTCAATCTCACTTTTCTCATCTGAAAGAAAAGAAGTGGTTGGGCTAGATGACCTCTGTGGTCCCCTTTAGCTACAAATCTATGATCTTATGATCTAGAAGGGACCAAAGAGGCTTTCTGGTCTACCCACCCTGTTAATTTTTCAGGGGAAGAGGTCCAGGGAAAGACTTGCCAAGGACACAATGGTAAGAATCAGAGGTGGGATGCAAACCTATCTCCTCTGACTCCAGAAGTGTGCATCCTATATCTATATTCCAATGATGTGCTCCACATCACTTCTGTATTTTTCTGTTTCTCTCTCAGAGGACTATGGATGTGTGCTAGAATTGTCAGTCACATGGTAGAGAGGGCAAGGGCAACTCTGCTCACTTATAAGATCAGGGGCAGAGTGTGGAGGGGAGAAAAGAACATGGCTTATCTGCATTCTTGTCTCTATAGAAAGCCTCCTGAAGGATTCTGTTGGCTTTAATGTTTTTAAGGACCAAGAAGAATGAGCAGGTAGAAGAGGGCTTTGCCCTGTCCCAGAAAAACAAGAAGGAATGAAGAGGAAAAACAAAACAAAACAAAACAAACTTCTTAACAATGAGAGGTGGCCAAGGCATGGAATGGGCTAACTCAGAAGATAATGGGTCCCTCTTATTGGACATCTTCAAGAAGAGACTGGATGACTACATATGTTTGTAGAGAGGATTCTTTTTGAGTATGGCTTAGACTAAATGGCTTTTGTGGTTCCTTCTAATTCTGAAATTGTTTGGTTTCTGAAATGCCCAGGTATGTTATGATTATATGTATTTATGTATGTATATTGTATATATATGCATACATACAATATATATGTATATTATATGTATGCATATATATACAATATACATGCACACACCATATATACATATATATGTGTATGTATATATATACATACTACATACATATATATGTGTGTGTATGTGTATATACACATATAGTGTGTATATATGGATATACATATATGTGTATGTATATGTGTATATGTACATGCACATACATACACACGCACACACATGTAATTGTTCTGGTTCCCCTGAATCACCTTTTTAGTCAGTATATTATCTTTATTAGTGGCCAGTATAAAAGAGCAACAGCAGAAAGTATGATTGCAAAGGACAAGCTGGAAGTCACATACAAATGATCCCAAAGATCGAAGGACCAAGATGTACAAATTGTATTATCTATTAACCAAAATTCACATCCTGGTAATATGTGTCAAATCAGTGGAAGTGCCTTTTGATTCCATGAAATGTAAATCTCAGACAAGTTTTAGATATTGCTGTTAAGATCAGCAGAAGACCAAAAGGAGTTGATAATTTTGAATGTTGTGAACATGTTAATTTTAAAGTTTTACCTACAACTTTGAGATGATTTGTATAAGTTAATGAACTAAACCCAATGTGGCACAGGTAAGAGTTAGTCTGTTGTCCCTCACCAAAAACAATAAAAATGAGGCCTCCAGTTTCTGCCACGTCCAAGACTTATCTATTTCAATCAGTTGCCTAGTGCTCCCAACTCTAATCCGTGGGTATGAGTGACACTCTCTGCCTTTCCTCCTTCTCACCCACTGTCCTCATGCTGCCTGCCTCTGTACCCCTTTAGTTTCTCGTCTCTGTACTTTCTGTGATTTTGTGCACCCATACACTTTGTGGTTGTTAAAGTGTGATTACATCCTATATTCTGCTGCCAGTAGTAGTCTTTCCCAGTGAATACCTAAAGAACTGGGCATGCCTGCCCCCATTTCATAATTTCATAAATTACTGATCAATTCAACTGGAAAGAAGATCTTGGTGACATAACTTAGGAGTCATTGGAGTACTTGAAATCTATGATAAAAAAGAAGTTGAATATAATTTTTAAAGGAATCATTAAATTGTTCAGACATATTAGAAAAAGGGGACAATGTGAAACTAGAAAAAACAATCCACTAATCCCCTCCTGAAAGAAACTTCCAAATGAAAACTTCGTAGAATGTCAGTGCTTCTAGATAAAAGAAAAAATACTGCAAGCAGCCAGGAAGAAAAAAAAAATCAAATGTTAAGGAATCCCAATCAGAATCACACAAGATTTATTAGCTGTCATCTAAAGGTGCAGAAAACATGGAATGAAGTGTTCTAAAAAGCAAAAGATTAGAGTCTACAATAAACAGTAATTTAGCCAGCAAAAACTGAGTGTAATCTTAAAAGGAAAAAACAGATTTTTAATGAAAAAGAGGACTTTCAAACATTCCTGTTTAAAAAAAAAAACAAACTGGAACTGAAAAGGAACTTTGAAATACAAATACAGAAGTCAAAGAAAAATAAGAAAAAAAGGTAAATACAGGTGAACAATTAGTATGGACTTTATAAGAATGAACTGTTTATCTTCTAACTGGAGGGTATGTTAAGACAGTTCTTTTGGAATTCCATTGGTTTAAGGGGTCATTGAGGTATTCAATTGAGGTAGAAGCCTTTTAAATAATTTTGTGTTCTGATGATAGAAGAAAAAAATGAGAAAGGGAAAAGATGCATTAGAGGAAAATGAGGGGATGGATGGGAGGAGCTTATTAACACATACTCAAAGAATACAAGCAGAAATATATATAAACATGGGGGAGTGGCCCTCACTTCAACTTCACTTTCATCTAAAATGGTCAAAAGAGGACAGAGCGCACACACACAGAGTTTGATGTAAGAATATACTCAACAGGCATACAAAATAGGATGGGGAGGGGGAAATAAACAATTACCTGTTATAACTGAGTTTAAATGGCATGAACTCATCCATAAAATAGAAGAAATTAGCAGAATGAATTTAAAAAGCAAAATCCAACAATATGTTGTTTACAAAGAATATACTTGAAACAAAGTAAAACAAGGAGTTGGAGCTAAACACAAAAGTGAGTAGCAATTATGATTGCAAATAAGGCAATAGCAAAAATAAACTTAATTAAAAGAAAAAAGAGGAAAAGTATATTTTGCTGAGAGGTTAATAGAGACAATGAATTGATTTTAAATACTTAACATGCATGCACTGAATGGCTTAGCTTCCGAATACTTAAAGGAAAACTAAATAAAAGAGAAATAGAAAGTAAAACTATAATAATATGGTCAGAGGGAGAACCTCAATTTACTTCTATCAGTCCTAGATTAATTTAAACACACACAAAAGAGAAAAAAGTTAAGTACCTGAATAAAATTTTATAAAAATTAGATATGACAGACCCCTGGCAATTACTACATGGAAATAGAAAAGAATATAATCATTTCTCAGCTATGCATGACATCTTTAGGAAGGAAGAAAGGGTGTAAGCATTTATTAAGTGCCTACCATGTGCCAGGCACAGAAATTGATCATGTGTTAGGACATAAATACCTTACAAATAAATAGAGAGGAGCAGAAATATTATACACATTCTTCACTATCCATAATACAATAAAATTACATTAAAGGGCTGCTGAAAAAAGTATTAAAATTAACTGGAGAGTCCAGAGCCAAATATTAAATAACTATTAGCTCAAGGAACAAATCATTGAAATGATAGAGAATTTTATTAAAGATAATGACAACAGTGAGAAAACATACCAAAAATTAAAAAATAAACCAAAACAGTCCTCATGGAGCAATTTATGTCTCTAAATACTTTTATTAACAAAAAAGAGAAAAAACAGATCAATGAATTGGAAATGAAGTTAAAAATAGTGGGAAACACAAATTTAAAAACTCATTTTCAACACTAAAATAAAAATCTTGAACATCAAAACAGAGATTAATAAAATTAAAACCAAACCATTAAATTAATAAAGCTAGATAAAAACTCAATAAAATTGATAAGCATTGGTTAGTTTGATTAAAACAAATTAAAACCTAATTATCAGTACAAAAATGAAAAAGGAGAATTTATAATAAATGAAGGATAATATTAGAAATTTTTTTGCTCAATAAAATGCCAATAAAACTGTCAACTTCTTTCTAAAAATATTTATTTATTTATTTTTAGTTTTCAACATTCTCTTCTATAAGATTTTGAGTTCTAAATTTTCTCTCTCTCTCCTCTTCTTCCCAAGATGGGGTGCAATCTGATATAGGCTCTACATATACATTCTTATTAAACATATTTTCACATTAGTCATGTTGTAAAGAAGAATTAGAGCCAATGGGAGAAACCACAAGAAAGAAAAAACAAACAAAAAAGAGGGCAAATAGTATGCTTTGAACTGCATTCAGACTCCATAGTTCTTTTTCTGGATGTGGATAACATTTTCCAACATGAGTCTTTTGGAATAATCTTAGATCCTTGTATTGCTGAGAAGAGCTAAGTCTATCAAAGTTATTCTTTGCACAATGTTGCTGTTACTGTGTACAATGTTCTCCTGGTTCTGCTCACTTTATTTAGTATCAGCTCATGTAAGTCCTTCTAGGTTTTTCTGAAGTCTGCCTGTTTACCATTTCTTGTGGAACAATAGTATTCCATTACACTCATATGCCAGAACTTGTCCGGCCATTCCCCAATCAATGTGCATCCCCTCAATTTCCAATTCTTGGCCACTATAAAGAGCTACTATAAATATTTTTGTATATGTGGGTCCCCTTCCCATTTTTATGGTCTCTTTGGGATACAGAACCAGAAGTGGTATTGCTGAGTCAAAGGATATGCATGGGTTTTTTAGTCCTTTGGCCATAGTTTCAAATTGCTCTTCAGAATGGTAGGATCAATTCACAACTGCACCTATAATGCATTAGTGTTTCAATTTTCCCCCATCTTGTCCAGCATTTATAATTTTCCTGTTTTGTCATGTTAGCCAATCTGATATGGGTGATGTGGTACCTCAGAGTTGTTTTAATTCACATTTCTCTAGTCAGTAGTGATTTAGAGCATTTTTTCATATGACTATAGACAGCTTTAATTTCTTCATCTTAAAATTGCCTGTTCATATGCTTTGAACACTTATCAATTGGGGGAATGACTTGTATTCTTA